GTTGAAGGCGGAGAAGGGTACCCTTAAGTTTGTTCTTTTACTTAGACATTTGGTGTGTGTTGGCCCTGTGGAAAAGTTGTTATATTAATATTCTGTTTTGATCTTGATGCCGTATCAGTAACATCCTGGGGCAGCTTGCTGGGGCGATGCCACAGGCATTAACAGTGACACCTGAGGAACGTGAAGCCATAGAACGGGTAAGTGCGAACATGCCTTCCATCTAATTTGATTTTTGAAGATTTTATTTTGAATTGGTGTTTAAGAGGCCAAATTGGGTATTGAGAAGCATTTGGTATGGTGAGTAGTAAGCCTTGACATTAACTATTTTTTATTAAAAAATTATAGAAAATACCACTTCGAACTTGTACTAAACCATTTAACAATTTGAAAAAGATTGGTAATAAAATATATTAAGCTCATGTTTGGCCCTAATTTTTTAAAACCCATTTGTTTCCAAACTCATTTTCAATCACAAATTTTGTGCGACCCACAACTTTTTATCAACCTTTTAACCATGCATTTCATCAAATTCGATCAAAATCTACTAAAAATATGATTTTTAGCCAAATCAAATAGGAGCTAAATATTACAATCTAATTCACACCTAGAAATATAAAATGGGTTAGGGCACGCAGTGTTTGAAAAGGTTCAGTGCTGGTGAAGCAAGGGCAAGCCCTTAACATAACCCAATAAAGTATTCAAGAATCAAAGAAACAAAAACTTTAAATCGTAATAAACTCTAGTGCATGGCTGGCTTCTTCACATCTTTTCTAATCTTTAAGGAGTGTAAACCTCAAAAGCCCTAAAAGAGGACAAGAGTAAGGAGTGCATGCCTCAACCCGCAAAGGCTTATTCCTTGAGGCACGTACCCCTGTAAGTCAGACATAAGCGTTGACAAAGGGGACTCATCTTGTATAGAAGTAACTTTGTTCATAAACATAAAACTTGGACTTGGAAGATGGAGTAGGAGTGGACATTTTTTTGGCATTTTCCACCTGGGAACCAAAATTGATGCCTTACCTGCTTTATTAGGCCAAATATAATATATACTACAATCACATATACAAATACAATGGATTGTGTTGTCAATTCTGATAGCTACTAATCATGGTTACTTTTTTCCCTTTTTTGCCAGCTTGAAGCAATGGGGTTTGATCGAGCTCTCGTGCTGCAGGTGTTCTTCGCTTGCAACAAGAATGAGGAGCTGGCTGCAAACTATCTGTTAGATCACATGCACGAGTTTGAAGAGTGATGATAGGAATTGAGGTGGACAAATTTATTCTCTTTTAATTTCTTTTCACTTCTAACATTTACTTTTTTCACTCTGTTTTATTTATTTCCTACTGATGTGTGTGCATCCATTGAATTTCTATTAGCCCCCTCTTCTTGTGGAGAGTTCAAATGGTGGTCAACTGCTGGAGGGGAGATGAATGATCAGAGATGTAATTATAGCTTGTCATGCCTCAGTTTGACTCTTCTCAGTGTAACTATATAACTTTGTCGAATTCTTGCTTGTTCAGTAGCCACATGGTGGAGTTACTATTCAAGGATTCATGGTATACCCTTATTTGAATTACCTGAGCTGTGAATTCACATAGACAGTACGTATCACCTCTATGATGTTAATATTGTTGAAGTGTGTAGCCCTTTTTAACGATGGAGTATCTGGACACGAAAAATCAATTGGAAATGACGACTCGTTGCATTTCTTCTTCATTGGGCATTTATTGTAATTGCAAAATGAAAGAAGCCGAGTTTGCAAAATTTCATGCCACATAAATTGCTTCAACTTGATTGCCATAGTGTTTCACTCGTTTGCAAGCGTATATTTGTGATTGCATTGATTTTGAATGTCTATTGAATCTGCGTGCATATGCCACTGCCTCAAGTTTCATTGAATTGGAGCCTTCACAAGAAAGTTCATCATTCTAATTAAGTGCATGTTTGGCCTAGCTTAAATTTATAATTTAAGTAGGTCAAATATACTTTTGATATATACATTTTATAGGACTCATCACTTATTATCAGTAGGATTTAAGGTTTATAACACTTTAATAAATAAACACCAAGTAATTTTGATGATTTAAGAAAAATTACCAACTTGTCGTAATAAACCTACTCATTACTCTTGGTTTATTGAAGGGAAAAAAATGATCTATTGACAAAAAATAAAACAATATGAATGATACTGCAAAATGTAAATATATAGGAGAAGGGTTTGCTTCGTCGAGTCCATGCAATTACATTTATAGACACGTGACTTTAAACACTTGTACACTACAATTCAGACGACAAAAAAGCATAAAGCAAATGCAACCATGAGGACATATAGAATGTACATATGGATAGGATACCGTTACAATTTATACCGTTCCTTGGTTCATTTTTTCCTTTTTTTAATATTTTCGTCATTTGATTGGTTCAGTTATGAAATCTTAATATGTTACGTTAGTCTATTCATCGTTTGCATATGATGATACACAAGTCATACTATTTTATATTTTTTTAAAGAACGTAGATTTGAAATCTCACATATTCGAGTCGATTTTCTAGAAATTGATTTGAAACTTGAAATTGTACTCAAATAGTGATATTCTTATTTTAAGAAGGGAGATTAGGCGTGCTTTAATTCATTTCACATTTTATATTTCACCAAATGACGTGGAGCCGTGGAGGGTTTTGATGCCATTCCCTATTTGCATATTGGAATCTCGTAAGACTTCAATTTTTAGAATTTATTTCAATTGATCTCAAATGTGTCCGTGTGTTAGGTCTTCCAAATAAAGTGTTGTACTATTTTTATTTTCAAATAAAACACGAGCAAATCTTACAACTATGTCATCGCGTAGTTGTTACATGAACAAGTAAAAATTTACATGCATTTTACTAGGAATTAAAACACATGAGATGGGTTTAACAAAAGTTTCTTGTGTTTTATTTATTTTCCACAAACATAGGCTTAGTTAAATAAATGTTCATAAAGATAAGAAACAAATTAAATAAATAAAAGAACCTAATAAAAATGTACGATTAACGGCGTTCCGATCTTGAGAACAAATGGCGCCAATCTGCATGCATGCATGCATTTTGTGCACATAACAATTTCTTGAATATCAAAATTCGTTTGCTTTAGAAGGCGTACCGGTACCATAATCTCAGCGAAACCAAAAAACCATGATCCCCCGATTCCAGAAGCGAAAGAACGTATGACGAAAAGTAAGATTTATTTATTTTATCTACCCTCTATTCAATTCTCACTCTCTCTCTCCGCTGAATTCAAATTTTCTTGGATTTTCTTCATTTCGATTTTATGGGTTTGTGTTGTTGATTTTGAAATAGCCCAACAACAAGAGTTTCAAGGAATGAGGAGGATTCGTTTGAGGATGCTGGCGCCGAATTGACGCCTCTATCCACGGTGGCAGATGCATTTGAGGAGCTTTCGGCACTGGTGAAATCTAAGGATTGCAATTTTGATCTTCGTTTGAAGCCATTTTGTGATGCCTGTTCTCTTGTTTCGGTTCTTTTTACTTCTTTAGGCATAGCCTTCAAATTTGCTGAATTGGAGTATGTTTCCAAGGTTAGTGGTATTTCATTAACAAATCTTCCCAATAGTCATCAGCTGTATATATATAGATTGAATCTGGAAACTAATTATGAATGATCTGCCATTGTCGAGTAACTTGGGGGGTGGAGATTTGGTTTAGATGAGGAGGAGGAGGAGGAGAAGATCCGGGGATTTTTTGGTAAGGGATTGTGGTGTGGTGGAAATTGAGATAGTGGTTGGGATTTTTTGGTAGGGGTGGTGGTTGTGGTGCTGGGTTGGGTTGGGTTTATTAAAATTATTTTTGTTTTTGGTTTTGATTTTTAATTATTTGTTTGAGACTCATTTGTATTTTTTGAAAAATTTGAGCCTATGATTGCAATTAGTTCTTTATTGTTCTTTTTATTTTATTTAAATAAGAGGGTAAATTTGTCATTTCATAGATTTTTATAGAGAAAATGGATGAAAATTGAGGAAAATGATGTTTTTCTCAATAAAAACGTAGAAATAGGGGTGAAAATGCAAAAAATTGAAACGTATGGATGTTTTGCACACTAAAGATCAAACGTAGGGACGTTTTGTACTAATAAGCCAATTTTGAAACTAATTATATAGATGAAAGAACACATAATTGTGTTTTCATTGAATTTTGAGCTAATGTTTCTTTAGATCATAGCTAATATTGAGCAACATTTATGAAGATGATGAATGGAAAAACATATTGTGAAGGCTGTGATGCCAGCCCAATAGGCAATGATGAAACTGGCCTTCGGCCCAATGCTATTGTCCAATATAATCAACTTAAGTAACCTAGTGAAACCCGAGGCCCAATACTCGGTCCAGTGAGAATGTGTTTGGTGAATGCGACTTTGGTTGTTTTATCTTATATTGAAAGTGCAAGTTTCTCTGGACTGTTGGATCGTTAGCTGCCTATCTCGATATATGCTTGAGTGGTAATATGAAAAGTTGAGATATTATTACTGTATACTTTCTGGCTTCTGTTATTCGAGGGTTCTCTAGAGTCTCCTGTGTTCTCTTTTTTTATCTTCCCATTTTGATTTTGAGTTACTCTTTAATCCGGTTTAAGAGTAGTATTTCTTTGTGAAATATGTTGAAAGAGTGTATCGTCTATTTGGTGACGGTGAACTCTTCTGGTCCATAGAAAAAGCTGCATGTTTTCTATGATCGTTAAGGTTCTTGGGTGAATCTGGGTTTTATGGTGTTGATACAGAAAGGTACAATATTCTGAGCCTTCGATCGATGATATTTTGGTGTCCAGTGATTCGAATGTGAACGTTTGTAATAGGTTGTATAGATGTGTATTTTTTTGTATCTTGGTTTGTATAACACATTTATTTAATTTGTGGTTTTCCATCTAGAAAAATTTAGTCCAAGAGACATCCAAAACAAAGCAACGAATTTTAGACATTTGGCCTTGTGTGCAGTTATTCTCCTTCAAGTTTTCCATGTATAAAATTTTGCAGTCTTCGCTGTCTTTGTTTGAACCCAAGAGTAACTTCCCGTTTCAGTAAGACTGACACTGGGAATCAACCTTAATAATTTCTAATTTATCCCAATTCATGTTGGAATATTCCTTGTAATGTGTAAGCACTGCATAAATATTCATGTATTAATTCTAGATAATGGTACATTCAAAATACTTTTGTCCAAGTCATTTTTTTATTCGTTCTGTCATTTTGTAATGCTCAATCAGATGCTTTTTGGGAGTTATCTTGCGGATTCTTCAAAAGGATATGGGACATTAAATAATATACTCGACTTTGATGTAAAACATGACACGGTTTCACGGATTATCTTTCTTCTTAGCCTAGAAAGGGACACTGTGCGACAGTAGTCTGCTTTGTCAGACTACCCGCCTTCTCTCGATTGTTTCGGGATGAAAGAAAATTTGATTACAATTTAAAGAAAGCTTGCAGTATGAAATTGAAATCCATTGAACATAACTTAATCATTGATTACTTGAAAGTTAGAAATTATAATAGACAAAAGCAAGAAATTATAAGGGTTAGTGCAGGGGGCGAACACTA